CAAGTGACTAAATAAATAAACAAATAAATAAGTAAGCAAGTAAATAAATAGGTGACAATCAATAGCTCAGCAATTCGATAAGTAAACTAATAAATGAATGAATAAGTAAATTGAATAAATTGTCGAATAACCTACTGATTATTTGCGTGAACTGCTCTCTGGTGATTTGTTTCTCTTGACTCTCGTCAACCTTCTTTTGAATCTCCTGGATATCGTACAGTGAGACGAACTCACTCAGACCGTTCAAATCCTCCTGAAAGAAATAGAAATGGAATATCGATTGATAATTTGGCGCGTTATTGATTTTTTGACGACCCAAAAAGAAATTCCTATTTCTCAAGGGATGGTGTATACACAATCACAAGGAAAGCTTGGTAAAAAAAAACAGGGAAGGACGGCAACAGTAGGGAAGAAAAGAAATCATATAATGCTGTCAGCTTTGCGTTCCGATTTCCGATTTCCGATATGTTTCCCACTGCACAGAAGTCGAAACACCGGCGCGTCTGATGGTAACACCCAAAAGCCTATCTACCATTTAGTATCAGCTGTTATCAGCTTGATAATCTTCCTACTGGGACTATCACAGATTTCCGAGAAGGGAATTTTCATTTACCTTTCCATATTTTTATCCTAAAGCTTACTGGTTTAAATTAATAATAAATTAATAATTAATAATAATAATTAATAAATTTAATTTTACAGAATTGATTGTTTATATTCTAGCTTACCTTATCAATATATCCCTTATCATCTTTGTCGCATATCTCGAAGAGTTTTTTGGCCTGAAAACAGAACGCTTTTCTATTTGACGAGTAAAATAGGGTGAATCAATCGATAATCGATCGCGGCCACTACATATGATGCTAATTGATCAAACCTGTTCCCCTACGATTGATTCTTCGGATGACGAGTCGAGAATGATTTCCTGATCTTGCATCCGCTTCTTCTGAAACAGGCCATGAATAAACACTGTTGATCACGTCACTTATTGATTGAAATTCGATCGATACGTGAGCGGGTATCGGTCGATTGGCAAGCAGTAAGCCAACATTGGACAATGAACAAATCGATGAATTTCAGCGTCAAAGTACACGACAAATACTGAATTCATGCCGTTAGCAAAGAAAGCAAACAAAAGCTCATGCACTCGGCGAATTTTGGAATGGAAATATTCCACAGGGTAAAATCCATGAAATAACGATACAATAAAAAGAAAGGTATTATCCCTAAAAACCTCCGAAGTCTTATAAAGATGGCGATCTAATAGATAAGAAGATCCGTGTCGGCAATTCGTTGCGCTTTACTCCGCAATTGAAAACGGAAGTTGTCGTTTATTGTTTTTGCTGTTGTTTGTTGTTTCAAGAAAAGGGTAAAAAATTGAAAAAAAAATCATCGCAGGGTAAAGCGCGCGTATTTGTTGTCCCTTTTTGCACAGATTGGCTGATTGCTTTATCTAAAGGATTTGTTCACTTATATTCATTCGAAACGATTAAGAATGAGTATACTTATTCTTAGCGAGTTCTGATTAAGTCTTGATGTACACGTGAATTAAAGGCGCTGCTCACGGGTACAACCCTCGTCCGAATCACGAGATCCTGTCATCGGGCCAGTCTGAAGCCGTCAATCAACCCTTCTGGGTCGGGTATTGCAAAAGTCTCACAATATGGTTGATTATTAGCAAGAAAACAACAGCTGAACTCTTTAGGCCGCCTGTAACGTCGAAACTCATTTGTGTAGACCAAATCGCATTAAAATGCCACTACGATCCCCAATGAGAGTTTAATGCGTGGCGTATCCCAAGAAGAGAGCTTGAGGCCGAATGTTTTTCCTTTTCCTACCGTTGGGAATTTGGTACTCCGGGCCATAAACAAGATTTATTTTATTTCTTATTTATTTATTTCATATTTCTAAGCGTCATGCCACCCAGATACATACATCCTCTAGCCTGATCGTCATCCTGAAAAAGGAATAGAACTCCGATAAATATAAACTGCTCACGCATCGCCCAGAGCCCACACTCTCCCGACTGAAGCCTTAGCCCCCGTTTCTCAAACAATGAGCTTCTTGCGCGTTCCAATTCATTGCCATCACAAAGCCCCTGACCGCCCATAACTTCGTATAGCTCTAATTATTATAAATTAAACTACCACTTTACAATTATTATTATTATTATTATTATTATTATTATTATTATTATTATTATTATTATTATTATTATTATTATTATTATTATTATTATTATTATTATTATTATTATTATTATTATTATTATTATTATTATTATTATTATTATTATTAGGGGCGGATAGTGTGAAAAATGTGCGCACTCACCACACGAGCGGTCCGGGGATCAAATCCTGGGTCGCTGAGCGCACCAGGCCAACCAAGCTTCCATCCCTGTCCGGGGTCGGTTTGACTGGTACCTGGATGCAAATGCTTTTCCTTTATCCTTATTATTTATTAATATTAATATTATAATTATTAATTATTATTCATTACAGTTATTATTATCCAATTATTTAATCTGATTCAAAACCTATGAAAGCCCAGTAGTTGAACCCTTGAGAGAACAAGGAAGAGTAGAGTTCAAGCTGTGAAGCCATCTGAGCAGCTAGAAAGAAGTGTTGGATTTCTCTGCTCTCTTTCAGCTGAGCGGATTAAGCAGAACGGAAGGAACCAAAGCACAAGAAGAAAACGCAGTCGGCCTCGGATGATTCCGCTTTGAAGGTCGCCGGGTTCCGTTGCTAGCACACTGACTTAGCAACCCGTAGCTAATTCCGTGCACCGTTACTTCTATGAAATGAATTTGTAGTCTACCGATTCGAAAGTTGCGGCCTTCATTCTCTCGAGCCTAGTTCTGTCGAAGTGGCACTTTTGGTGCAGAAGGCTGTGGTTTGAAAAAGATTATGTTCTGGGAACCGATCTCTGAGCCCGTTGTTTTGTACTGGCACCCCGTCCCTTGCCGCTGAGTCATCTGTCGGCCTTTCGTGGAACGGGTAGGAATAGAAATTTCAGACATTAGAAATAGAATAGCTTGAGGCGTTTACCATAGTTTTTGTTGCCGGGTCCGTGACCGGATTCCCGGCCGGAATTCGGAAGTCGGCATAAACTGCTAAATTCCCATGCTGTTTGAGTTTCATCAGGTTCCAATCCACCAGACGCCATGATTACCAAATCCCCAATAGATGTGTGCCTTATTTTTGTATGCTTCAGATCAAGAAAGACGTTTTTGAGTCATTAAAGGTGCACGAGACCCGACTAAACCCGCGTAATTGTTTGTTCTAGTATTCCACCGCCCGCAGTTGTTGTTTGGTCTTTAATTGCCAGTTCTGGTCTCTAATTGACGCAAATATCACTCCAATAAAAGTCTCGACCCTGTTATAGGAAAAGTAGCCGGCGATCTGCTAGGAACCTGAAAACGGATCCAACCGTCCGTTGGACATAGTCCAACGAGGGGGTCGTATTCGGCCGACGAAAAGGGGGGTCATATTCACAAGGTCAAAGGCAGTGTCAGTTTTACACTAGCGGGGTCATTGTGTGACGCTTTACGCTTTATGAGGGCCAAGAAAAAAAATTGTTCGGTTTTTTGCGTCATTTCACGTTGACGGGCCCCGCCCCCCGCTCGACGCTTATTTGGGAGGAGATAAGGGTGGAGCTTGGGCTAGTGTCAAAATGGTCTCAAATCATAATACTATAGTACAGCTGGGCGCGGATGGAAAGTCACATTCGAGCTCTCAGAAGCATCGTAAATTTTTTGAAATTTGTCGCAGCGGTGACTGTTGCCCCTCCTGAAAGTCTTACATTACACAACCCGCCAGAAGTTGTAGTCCTGAAAGGTTCATATAGCGAAACAATAATCGTCTGAGGCTCATGACATCGTCGAAACTGGATCCGGCCGCAAGTACCCGACAGGTAGGCACGCCCGTGTAAAAAGTAGAGTTAGCGAACGAGGTGCGCTGGTGCGTGCCATTTGAGGATGTGCAATGGTTGATTCGGGTACCCCCCCAGGGCCGTCGCGCGGCAAAATGCCGATTCAGCGGACGAGTTGCGCGCGTATTAGGGAAATCGCGTCAAGTTAAATAGAATGTCCCATTGCACGTCCTTCATCCGCACATCACGCGCCGCGACTCGTCCGCCGACTCGGCCTTCTTGCCGCGCGATGGGCCTCCTGGGGGGTACCCGGTTCATTCTATTCCACTTTGAGCGTAATAACTTAACATGTACGCCGCGCTGCGTACTCGTCTGCCTGCTCCTGCTTATTTATTTTTAACGGCGAAATCACTACAGTACGCCGCGCTGCGACTCGTCCGCTGACCCTGCCTTCTTGCCGCGCGACGGGCCTCCTGTCGGGTACCCCGGGCCCGCCATAAGATTCAGAAGCTGGGCTGTGAAATCTTGTTCCTCCCAACGCATTCTATTCGTCAAAAACCTAATTGCTACTACCTATATTGCCCACTCATAGGTCGTCTTTCATGGCAAAAATTCAAGACTTAGCTTCAGCTCAGAAAAGAGGTGGCTGTCTTTTAGACGCGCAGTAGACCACGTTTTCGAAAAAGGGTAACAAAAAGCGGTCAGGATAGAAGAGACAGGTGTTAGAGAAACGACGATGAATTTATAAATGACCGAGGTAGCTAATAAAAATAAGCACACTAATAAAAAATGCGTGGAGGGGTCGCGGGACTTTCTGGATTACCCAATACTTATTTATATACTCTGTTCCAGGAACCAGAAGCGCGTCGAGTGCAGACCACACACCACAAGTGACGACGGCCTCCACAAAATGTAAATGTTTTCTGCCAATGAAATGATTAGCCTGTTGCAGTTGTATTCTATCAGTTGTCACTAATTATATCAACTATCAGCTATCACTATGAACCACTAGTACCAGATTTACTTGGAGGCCGTCGTCACTTGTGGTGTGTGGTCTGCACTCGACGCTCTTCTGACTCTCCGAAACAGAGGGTACGTCCTTGCGGACACGCCAATGAAACCATGTTTTTGTAACTTGAAATTACGCCGACTCGGAAATTTCCCGTCTCACCTCTTCTATTTAAAGTGTTCGTGATGATTTAGGCGCTTCGTTGATACCGTAGTAGAAAAGCGAATTTTAGACAAAACTGAGCTACTGCCAAAGTCCTTACATGAATTAGTACCACAATATAGTGTTTCCGAGTAGAAAATCATTAAGTAATCGAAAATCGAAAATCGAGATTCAAAGCGCATAGAACGAGGAAATTGAAGGACCATGTGAAATTTTTGAAGGAACGAGGCGATCATTGCATATAATCAAAACAGCGTTGGCAGAAACGATTATGCCACAGGGAAATCACCATGAGAAAGAGCTGACGATCAATCGAAGCCGACGAAGCTGCCTGGACACACAGCTGAACGAACGAACACACAGAGGGGTGCCAAATATGGCCGCCAGCCCGTCCCGTTGCACGCCCGCACACACAAACATCGATTTCAAATTTCGAAACTGTGCGAATATGGGATCAGAGGCTATTCATATAGGTGAACGACGAGGCACGTGTACCCTTCCCGGACGCTGAAAGGGTATTCTTGCGATCCTCATTATAAGGCAATCCATAAGTGCTTATGGATCTTCCGCACAGTCCTCTCTAAAAGCTCCGATTTCCATTCCGTAAGATTCATATGTGTGGGTGCGGGATTTGGGGAGGCGCTCTATCTGCTGTGGGGAGGGGGGGGGGTAGGCGAAAATCTTTGAGAATGTGCGATTTAAAGGCACAACCCAGGCAGAGGTTTTTTATAACTCTTCTCTTCGGTCAGAAGTATAGAACCCTAGGGGACAATGTGGCGTTCACGTGCACGGAATTCGACCGACAAGAACGCTTTGGGCTTGCAAAGTAAGCTGCTCGAGCTGCAGCGAACGAGCTCTCTTATCAGGCCGTTGTCTGGTGCTCTCTCATCTGATGC